GACTCCAGCTGCAGCACCGGGAACAGGACAGGGAAAGAGCTCAGACTCCAGCTGCAGCACCGGGAACAGGACAGGGAAAGAGCTCAGACTTCCCTCCAGCTGCCTGACTCTCCAGGCACTTCCAGTCCTCACCAGCAAGAGGCGCCGGTCTGTTTCCCAGTGCGCACGGGTGAATACAATACTGACTGAAAAGTACTGGAGTACCAAGACGCTCGCAGAACCAGGAGGACCCAGGCTGGGATCAACACACACACTGGTCAGGGCCGCGCTGTCACCTGAGCTGCTTGGCAGCCTCCAGCAGGCAGGGGGCGATGTGCAGGGGGCCCTCCCCGTCCGTGGTGCTGGGCTGGGCCTGCGGTGTGATCCAGCTCCTCATCAGCTCCTCGTCCAGGTCGAACAGCTTGTCCACCAGCTCGCCCACCTTCAGCAGCAGATCGACTGTGCAGGACGGAGCACAGACATGCCAGGTAAGGCTTGGGACACCCTAGCGTGGAGGCACAAGGATGGACAGAGAGACCGCCAGGCAGACTGAGAGATGGACAATGATGGATAAACGCACAGAAAAGCTGACAGATCCGCAGCTCGGAAGGGTGATATGGCCAGCACCCTGCAGCTCCCAGCTGGCAGCCCCACTGGAGCTCAGCAGTGTGAGCCTGGTCAGGACCTGGATGGGAGACTCCTGGGAAAGCTGAGGCTGCTGCTGGAAGAGGTCTTAGGTGTTACACTAATGTAAGAATTGAATGAATGAAAGGAAGGAGAGGGGCGCCGTACCGTTGGTGGAGCTGCACATGATGAAGCAGAGGCTCTGGCGCACGGACTCCTGCTGCCGTACCCTCTCCAGCCACAGGGGGGCGGCACTCGGCCGAGCCAGGCAGGTCAGCAGCAGCCTGCAGGCGCAGCAGACCGGCGTCAGGCGCAGCTCCCAGAGCGAGACATGAACTAGCAAACACTGGGCTGTGCCTCGACCCGACGGACAGAAGTAAAAAAAACAAAAAAAAACAAACGGCTTTCATAACACCCCCCTCCATCATCGCCCCCGGTCCCGCGGGCTCCCTCCTCACCTGCTCGTCTCCAGCAGGGTCGGGGGGTCGCCATCGGACAGCAGCAGCAACAGCACCACCCTGTGGACAGCACGGAGAACAGCAGGTGAGCAGGCCATGACACTGCTGGGCCTGGGGGGAGGGGGCCGGCCATTCTCCCACACACAGAGGAGTCTGGGGAGGGGGGTAATCAGAAAAGTGGGGCACCCCCACCTCCCCGCACCCCCACCTCCCCACCTCCGTGTGGACATTTGTTTTCGAAGTCTGGAGCCGGGGGAGGTGGGTCGTTCGGGATATCCTGGATTCTGGGATGCGGAGCCGCCCTCTTCGCTTACGATAGCCTGGGAAAGGAACTGGGAGCCCAGGAGGACTGACCCTCTCCCCCCCCCCCCCTCCCGGCTCACCCCAGGTCCTCGTTCTCGCTGATGGACCGGCAGGCGTCGGGGAAGCAGGCCATGTTTCCCAGGATTCCCACGCAGATCTCCTGCAAGAGGAGGCGTCTCAAACACCAGGCAGCATGGCCAGCCCGGGGGGGTACACCTGGGACTCACCGTGAGGCGGGGGCTCCCGGACTTCGCGATCGCCCCCAGCAGGATGTCCGCGGCCTTGAACTCCTGGAGGAAGCGGGCCACGTCCTGCGTGCAGACACGGGCAGAGCCGCGGGGTGAGCCGGGCGCCGCCAGCCGGTGCGATCCGCCGGTGCGCGCGCCCGCCCTTCCGCCCTCACCTGGTCCGCGGCCATGTCCCAGACCTTACAGAGCTGCTCCTCGTCCTCCTCGCCCAGCTCCTCCCGCGCCTCCGGGTCTCCGGCCCCCTGCTCCGCGGCCACCTGGGCGGGAGGGACAGCGGGGCGTCAATCCGGGGTCAGGGTGTACCCCCTGCCAGCCTGCCTCTCCGCCCCTGGAGACCGCCCCTGCACCGCGCCCCGCCCACAGCTCCGGCTTCCTCGTCCGTGCGGCGGCGTGTGGCCCCGGACCTCCCGCTGGGCACCGCGGCCCCTGTCCAGCTCGGCCTGCCTGACGCTGACCCAAGCGCCCCCCCTCCTGGACACACGCGGCTCTGCGGCCTCAGCTTCCTCGCCGCTCCATCAGCCGAGGAGCAGAAACAGCTGTGGGGCCGCGGGGACCCCCGGACTGGACTGGACTGGGCCGTGACTGGCGACCGGTGCCCCAGAAACAGCCGCAGGGGTCACAGGGTGGGCAAGAGACTACAAACCCAAGAGTGCCCTCAAGGCAGACTAGAAACAGGGAGAATTCCCCAATATCCCTGCTCTTGACCGGTATTTGTCACCACTGTAATGACCGCTGCCCAGTCCTCCCTCCACTCGCCGAGCCCTGAGCAGTACCTGCACCAGCCTGGTGAGGGCGCCGAAGAGCCAGTGCTTGCTGTAGACAGTGTTGCCGATGGCGTCCCCTTCTGGCCCCCCTTCCTCCTCCTCATCCTCCTCTTCCTCTGCGTCGTAGCCCGGGGGCGGCGAGGGGTTGCGGGCCGGGTCCGAGTCCGGGCAGGGGGGGGCGCTGCCTCCGTCGTCCTCGCTGTCTCCGCCGCGCTCTGCCACAGAGGAAGAGTCAGACCAGGCGGGAGGGGGTGTCCGCACTGCTCCAGTCCTGGGGTCCTGCTCTGGTCTCAGTGACCTCACTGACCTGGTCATCAACTCATTTCAACAGACTTTATTAGCACGGCCCATTAATTTCAGTGCTGCCAAAGCCTATACAATTAACACAACATCTACAGTCATTTACAATACAGACACATCATAATACATTCACATACAAACATATGGAGCATTATTGAGAGACAGGCTCACTGTCTGTTCCTCAGGCTGGGACAGGAGATCACACACTGTATTATTATTATTGAGAGA